AACAATGTTGAAAGTTTGGTGAACATGTGTCCGACTCCTGCCAGGACACAAGTCTGCTCCGCCATGACAACTCATCATCGTCATAAAAATACAGTTGTCAACACTGCAGATAGCCCTTGTGGACTAAATGAACTGTGCATTTGGACAGCCCCCAGCAGTCCTGATTTAACTGTAGTCCACAAGTATGAAATTCAGACTTTTGAAGTTAGCCATTGTTTCTGGTGAGTCTGCTGAGAAGTTTTTTTTTTCAAAGTTTTGAGCACCACAAGTGACTTTCCAATAACTTCCATTGTTTCAGTAGCATAAATGTCAGAGATGGCTGTCTCAAAACCTGGACAAATAAAAACAAATCTAGGCCTATCTGCATAGGTAATAATAAGTAAGTGAGAAATTATGTTTGTGTCTTTGTTGTTGTTGTTATTTGGCTGAACAGGCCCTTTAATACAATATGAGAATAATATTCCCAATAAACAACCTACAGTTTCCACTGACAGAAATACTACAATTTACAATTTACAACGTGTAAGGAGGATAGATAAGGCGCATATCTATTTAAATTGTGCCACTCACTGTCACAAACAAGCCCAGCAGTAAGTGCATCGTGTGCACAGTGTCATAACGTGTGAGGTTGTCTGGCAATGTGATCTGGTGTCTAAACATAAATCAAAATGGCAGCAGAGAGAGACCATGTTTCCTTGTTACTATAAACCAATAGAGAGCCTTTCTCCTGAGAAATCAACATGACCTCAAACACAGTGTTCCCCAGCCACATTCCAGGTCATGCTAGAGACTCCTAGACACATAATACCTCTCTCTCTCTCTCTCTCTCTCCTTCAATCTTCCAGCGCATGCATGACTGGAAATATATTAAAACTTATACAAATGTGGAAACACTCAAGAAAAAAAGGCTGGCAAGACGATGGTCAGACAGGAGTGGCTTGTAATCTGAATACTTCTACCGTAGGTTTTTAGTGTGTGTGTATGTGTGTGTGTGTGTGTGTGTGCATAATCCAGCCTGGGGCTAGTGGAGTAATCTTATGGCAGTCAGTCTGTTTTAGAGTGCTCCATTGTTTCTCAGGCTAAAAAACACCGGGGCCCTGGAATAAAAATTTCGCGAGCAGAGTTCAAGGTTTTGGTCGGGAAATACTCTGGGGAGGCCGAGCGCGCTGTAAGCCCCAAAGATTACATTTCAGTCCCTGGCTCGCAGTCAAAAGCTCGCCAGACGGAACAGGAAATTGTGTCGCTGTCAGTGAAAACGCGCAGAGAGAAATGTAAATGGCCCTCCCAGTAACGGACGCCTCATATTCAACCCCGGTTGTGTCCCCTGGGCTCTGCCTGTCCACCACGTCCATCTTGTGTCAAATGACTGGTTTTAATAGTGGATAGGGATGGGGGTGGAGTATGTGTGTCTGTTGGTGTGTGCAGGAGGCTGTGAAACTATGAAACGACGTCCAGCATAGCGAGCAGGCCATGCTTGTATCTGCTTAAGAAATTAATTGAAATGTCATTGTTATAAAAATCAATAAAATCTATTTTGTGTAAAGGTATAATGAAAACAAAATGTGTGATCATCACATGAAACAAGAGCATAAGAAGACAGAGAGAGCCAATAAACATATCAGTCAAGTTAGCGAACTCACATTGTTGAACATAAACTACTGCCATTGTTAAAATGAAAGCCTTCATGTTCAAAGTCTGTCTTCTAGCTGACAGTTCCATTTCAGCAATACTGTCAGCGACAAAACAAACACATCTAAAGGGAACAAATTACAGCCACTGAGATTTCCTTCACTCAGGCACCAAACCAAAGCCTAGAAAAGCTATCAGTCATTTTGCAGAATAAATTGACACACAGATAAAAAGAACTATCTGGAATTAAAAGCACGGTCGAAGTGTGACAGTCTACAGTGCCTGTGTAAAAAGAGTCAGGGATGGACTGGGTATAAAAATCACCCCTGGACTTTTGACTCAGACCAGCCCACCTGGAGATACACCACCCATAAGTTCACACGTGATAAGAAATAAGTAGTACGGAGGGATATGGTTTCTGTGGATTCCTCTCAACTAAAATGGAATGAATCATTACTTAATACATAGAAATAGAAAGCCGGATAACTGTACTGTATAGCAGCAAATACAGCAGCAATTTAGCAATATATTTTAGTAGCTTTTATTTTTCTTCACTGAAACCCTTTTGTAAGTCAGTTCTTCAATTACACAGCCAAAATATTTTTAGTACTAAGGTTAGTTAGTTTTCAGGTTTCTGTTGGAGGGGCATCGTGGTGGCGTAGGGGTTGAGGAGCCTGGCATTTGACCGGGATCCTCTGCTGCATGTCCTTGCCCCTCTAGCTTTTCTCTCATTTAGAGTTATCCACCGTCATCCCTCCACTATCAATGTCATATACATGCATGGATTGTTCCCCAAAAATAACTATAAGTCAGCAAAAGTGCTAGCAGTGTTAAAATGAGGCTTAGCTGAAGTTCCGACATTTATTTTTATTCTTTCTCTTTCTGTTTCTCCCTACCTGTTCTGGCTTTCAACTCAATCAGCTGACTGAGGGTGTTCACTCTTAAACTCTTTAACTTCAGTTAAACCAATCTCTGAGCGAATCATATTGTTGCTGTCAACTTTAAGCTTCCCGTTTACTTCCATTCTATGCAAGCAATGGGGGAAAAATAGTTTTGCAAACCAAACAAGATGATTATATCATGCAGTGATTTAAATTAGTGTAATAACTGAATTTCAAAGTAAATATATTAATTATTACATTGGTTATTTTTTAATACTTTTAGTCTTTTTGTTAAAATGTATTCAGATAATAGAAGTTGCCACGGGGATGCTGAGAGGTTATTTCTATATTTCTCTCTATTTGCCAGATTGGGGTAAATTGACTTCAACATGTAGGGCAATGCATGGGTTTTTTTCAACACTCACATATTTTTATTGACTGTCTGGAACCGGAGATCTGATATTGATAGTTCTTGATATTAATGTAGTTCTGGAAGAGCCTACATATCATCAAATTTTGTGGTGACCTTTTTGTATACCTGAAATCCAAATGTTTTATCAAATGGTAGGAGGTTCAAGGAAAATGGCAAACAAGAACATATGGACTTCCCTGTCTTGTGTCCCGCTGCAGTGTGAAATGTTGAGAGGTGTGATAACTGATGCAGACGGTGAGTTCTAGAGAGTTTTGATCCACTAAATTAACAACTCTCCAAAAACAAATTCCTTAAGGGCAATGAAAATAAATGTCCAGTTGACTTTATCAAAGGCCTTTTCTGCTTCCAGTGATGCAATTATGGTGCTGAGGTGGCATCTCTGGGATAAAGAGATGAGGTTGAATAGACGGCAAATGTTGGTGGATGAATGTCTGCCCTTTATAAAATCTTTTTGATCTGGGTGGATTAATGACTGATTTTAATCTGTTGAGTGCTTTACTAATTACTTTTACTTTAAACCACAATTAATCAGGCTTATAGGTCTATAGCAGAATTGACTGAATTTACCAGTGTTTTTGTTATTCAAAATAATCCAGGCTCATTCTTTGCATAAGAAATTGGGTCCACTGATGTATGATATTCTTGAGCTGAGAATTCATTTTGTGTTTCTAATTTTTTTTTAAAGTTTTGTGCATTAGTGGAGTGGGAATGTTGGGAATATAGTTTCAATTTGTTCAAAATATTGTTGTATTTCTTGATCATTCTTTATCTTATAGAATATGAAATGATATGTCCCCTGCTTTTGCTGTTTCCTAAAGTATTGATATTGCTATTCCTGGAGAGTTGTTCAATTCAGTGAAGGATGTCCACTCTCTAGGAAGGAAATTGTTGAAATATTTTGCTGCTAGAAGTGAGGTATAGAGGGGTCTTGGGGGTGTTTAATGCACTATATTAATGCTGACTTGGCCATGGTTTGAGATAAAAATGTGAATAGAGTTTTTTATTTGGGATATAATAGCATTACTAACTAAGAAATAGTTAAACTAAGAAATACATAAGTAACTTTTTGTCAAGGGTGAGTAGTAGGACGATTCTTTGATTAATGGGTTCTTTGATCTCAACGATTACTAAAACCTAGATATTCCAAGTACTAACATCAGATTAGGGCCAGATGAGTACCTGCAATGTCTGATCTGTCTAACTTTTGACTGAGGATTGTATTAAAGTCTACCTGACTATCTCCCCTACTTTCTAAATCTGAAAAAAATTATTTGAAAATACTGTGAAAACAAACAACACCCAGAAACTCCTCCTTTTTTAGAATTATATGCTGCAGACAAAAATATAAGACTTAGATGTTTTGATGATGTGAGATGTGCTTCCTAGAGACGGCAGAAATGGGTTTCATTCTAGTAAGATGATCAAGGACTTTTGTACGTTTTGCCGCTGAACCAATGCCCTAAATGTTTCAGCTAATGAACCTAAGAGATGACATTATGGGTAATTTGGAGGGTTAATGTTGATTACGGTGTGTGTGTGTGTGTGT